CGATGTAAAACAACACAAACAACATAAAATAATTGGAATTTTATGGCTGTGAAAGTCGAGTCTCACAAGAAATGGTTAGCTTCAGGGATTATCCGGGAGATTTGAGACTCTAATCTGGAGACCGGGAGATACAGTCCAAAATCTGGAGACTCCCGGCTTATCCAGGAGAGTTGACAGCCCTGGGTATTTATGGTTGCTGTATATTGTTTATCTATAATGATAACAGTAATGATGATGATAATAATAATAATAATAATAAAGCTTAATTTAATGAAGGTTAATCTTTTAGTCATGGACTGGTTTACAAAGTGCCTTCCTAAAGATATAAAATACAATATAAAATCTAAGCTAATAATATATATTTATAAAATAGCTAGAAGATTTAATATTATCCCAAAAGCAACCCCAAACCAACCCCAGTATATACTCATATTGCTAAGAAATAAATATATTAAATATAAAAGTCAATAAGTGAATATTGCCTGCCTCTATATTTGATTCATTTGTCATAGTGTGGTTGACCACAATAATACTGAAAACAAGCTGTCTGAAAGTATAGCTGTCTCTAACAAGTACATTTATCAACAAGGCTAATCTTCAGCTTTCCCCTTAAAATTTCCCTAAATTGCTTGTGAGATAAATAACCTTATATGGACTAGGAGCATTGGGGGGAGGGAGGGGGGGCAATGAAAGAACTTTCAAAATTGAGATTTTTGTTGGCTTATTGGACACAGGAAATCCAACATTAGCCAATGAGCAAGATTAGCCAATGTTCTGCAAATGATTTACTGTAGTCAAGGATTACAGTGGTGTTTACCAATTGAGAATAAAGAATATATGTTAGTGTTTTTCTTTTGTGGGCTCCCTGTGGTTATTGAATTTGAGCATATTGTTCATTGTAGGCATACTATAAGAAGACTCTTTACCAGCACCAGAGAAGCTCAACATACAGACAGTAGACTAGCTGTTCTAGGAGTATTGACAGGACTCTGTTTGGGGCAGGGCTCATTTATGCCAAAGAGGTTTGAATTTTGGATGTATGCATTCGTGTAAATATAATATTCCTTGTCCTTGAATGCCTGTTGAGCCACCTTCCCAAACAGGTGTAAACAGTCCATGCTTTAAGGTGGCTCGACCCCCTCACGCTTGACCGCTACCTTCCACTTTTGGAACGCTAGTGCATAAACGTCTTTTAACC